AGTTGTGACACCCTGCAGGGCGTGAGCGGGTGTGGCTCAGGATGCAGTGACTCAGCCAGTGTGTTTTGTGGTCTGTTCAGCGGGTGCAATTTTTTGCCGTTTTCACATTGCCTTGGACATATTTGCACATAAACAAACCAAACCTGCCTTATGCTCAAATTGTTCCCAAATATATCCATCCCACTGAAACAATGCACACCTGTTTGTTGAGGATTCTCTCGTTCAACCAGCTGCTTGACAACATGACAAGCTAAGGGTCCCAGCTGCATCAGACAAGAGCGCCTCCACTCACCTGCGCCTGAAGCGCAATGTTCGTCCTCCCGAGGCCCAGGGTCCCAGGCTGAAGAGGGTTTCCGGGGCCCTACGGCTCCCCACAGCGGCCCACACGCGGTGGCAGAAGAGGCTGACGAGAAGACGCCTCAGGGCGAAGCAGGTGCCCACCACCCCCACCCAGCAAATGAGCTTAATCAAGGAAGGTCTCGTGTCGGGAAACCAGGCCTCCATGGGACGTTCGAAGGAGACCGGGTTTGAGAAGTTCTGTATTTTCGATGCAGCTGAAGGAGGGACAAGAGAAGACGGACGATCCCTCAAGCCAGGCAGAAAGGCTGGCCAACAGCGTCAGCCGGAGAAGACGCTTCCCAGGGGCAAGCCTGTCACTGAGATCTGGCAGGAGTCCAGGCAGGGTCCAGGCAGGCTGGAAAAGCTGACCCCGAGTCCAGAGCCCAGGCACCCAGCTGGGGACTAGGCTGCAGGCCCCGGAGCCGGGGCGGCCCCGGGGCCCCGGGAAGGGAGGCGTGAGTGCCACGGGGAGGCTGGGCTCTCATCCTTCGCCGAACCTGATATCTGACACTTGGCCTGCTGACCTTCCCAGGACAAGCCGGTGTGTGCCGTCGTCTTGAGACCGTCCTGCTCCTGCACATGGTTAGGGTCACCTGTCCTCCGGCAGCACTGGGCTCAGGCAGCTGGAGTCTGGAACCGTGACCAGGTGTCGGGCTCCACGTGCAAGCTCTGACCTCAGCACTGACCCTCAGGGATCATCGGACCCTCAAGACAAAGTGAGGGTGGGTGTGGTGACCCCCAGTCCACAGATGACATGGCCCGGCCTGCAGTGACCACACAGCCACGAGAAGGCAAGCTCCAGAACGGGCCCAAGACCGGGCCCTCGGCGCCTCCCCACTTCCCTCTGTGTCTCAGAGAATCCTGACGGAAACTCCTTTTGAAGCATCTAGTTCCGTTGTGCTGAGCGGAGTAAGGGCTGGGGCAAAGGTTGGTTCAGTCATCCACTCAGGAGCCGGGTCTGCCCTGGGCCGTGGGGCCAGCGCTAGCGTCCAGGGCGGAGGCGCAGACTGTGGGCGCGGAAGGAACATGGCGCCCCGAGGAGACCGGTGAGGGGTGGGGCAGCGCCTGGGGAGGGGCTGCGGTCCACAAAGGCACGGAGCCCCGGGGGGTGCTGTTGGGGGGCCGGCAGAGGTTGGACTCCTCCTGGGGGCTGAGGGAGCGGGCGGGGTGCATACGTGGGGTCCACGCGCGGGCTCCGCGAGGATGGAAAGTGCTTGCACTGGACTCAGGCGGACCTACACAGGCTGCTCACCTAGGCCTCAGACGGCAGGAGGAAGAAGGGGCCCCGTCACCCCATCGGACAGACGAAGGGCTAGATGTACAGACGAGTATAAAGCCATAAGCGGGCCTGTGACCCTTCGATGCTGCTGAGGGGAGGCCCCTGACGCGTGGCTCAGAGCCAAGGTCTGAAGGAGGAGGAATCAACCGAGGGTCAGGGCTGGGGGCGAGGCGGCTCTGCGGTTGAGCCCTGGAGTCTGGGGTCTGGAACCCCGCCACACGCCTCCAGCAACCCCCTTGGGCCTCTGAGTTCCTAGCCAGCAGGCCGGCCCCGCTCTCCCCTCCTGGCCGCCTTCCAAATAATGTTTGTACCTGACAAGCTCCAGGGACCGACAGAGGCCTCCTGGTCTCCCCTCAGCCCTCCATGAGGTGACTATGGGGCTCCTGCGGTTGGTGACCAAGTCACAATCCCAGAAGACTCTGCCTCTAGCCAAGGCCTGGAGACCTTTTCCCTGCGGCCCCTGCTCCCGGCTCCGGCTGGCAGGGCCCTGGGCCACCAGCAGATGTGTCTGCTCTGTCCCAGGGCCATCCGCAGTCCTAAGGGCACTCCGTCAGGAGGGGACAGCGGCCCTGCACAAGCCCAGGGGCACACCCGCAGACACTCAGCAACCCAGTCAGCACCTGGCTGTTTCTACTGCTAGGCAGCTTCCCCATGAGAATTCTTCTAGAAAAAAACATTTTTAAAAAGGTTGAATAAAAATGCGTTCATTTATTTACCGAGCACCTATGACGAGCCAGGGCCGGTGCCGGACGCTAGGCTGCAGAGCAGAGTACGCTGTGGCCCTCACCCTCTCCCGGGACACCACCCGGACTCCTCTCTGAGCAGAGCCCAGATCCCGTGGGGGGGCCGCCGTGGCAGAGGCTGCACCAGAAGGGGTGAGGCTGGAGGCAGGAAGAGCAGGCCAGACACTAGGCTGCCTGCACCAAGCCCCGAGCCTGAGAGCTGGAAAGGTAGGAAGCCTGGACTGGCCACGGAGACCCAGGGGCCCCGGGGAGAAACCCGGCGCTGGACACGGAGGGCGGTAGGAGGTGGTGGCTCGAACCACCCCAGGGACTGTTACAACAGTGCTCGGCACACAGGGAGCACCCACGAAGAGCAGCCACGGCCGTTTCGTTGTCTGAGGTGAAGGAGACCGGAAGGAGGGGAGGTGCCCACGGCGGCAGCCACAGGATGCGGCCCGACGTTGTAAATGGGTAGGGGGCAGTGTGGACGTGACGGTACAACCAGGATTGCCAGGCCGGGCACTGGCCGGGGTCTGGCTCCCACACCCTGAGGGGCAGCACACACAGCAGAAGGGCTGGGGGCAGCAGGTTCCCGGTTGAAGGTCCCTGTTCTTTAAAAACTGTTTGCCTTGAAAACATGGCTTTTACGGGGAAACTTACAAAGAATCCCAAGCCAAGAAGGGAACAAAGATCCCTAGAGGGCTCGCCAAGCTGGTGTGCTGAGCTGAATCTCGGGAAGCAAATGCAAATGCGGACAAAGTGTGCAAAGCCAGTGACCTGAAACCAGAAGTGGGGATGCCTGACTCAGCATAAGCAAGTGGGGACACTGAAGGTGTGTGTGCAGTGAATTCCTAATGAGCCCATGAGGGATGCAGACCGAACCCTGCGTGGGGTCAGGAAGTGAGGCTGGTGTCCCATTGCTCAGACGGAAGAGCAGGGAGAGGGCAGGGGAGACAGCCCATCACCTCTCAGTCCCCAACTCCCACTCCCCAAACACATCATCCAAGGTCGTGTGGATAAAGCTTTGGGTGAAGCTCTTGCTCTCTGCAAACTCTTGCTCTGTCCCCAAACCCAAGCCCAATAGATCTGGGCACCAAAGGACACTCGCATACTTGATAGAACGACCAAAAGTTAAGAAAATTGGAACAAGGGAGGCTGGGTGGCTCCATCGGTGAAGCGTCTGCCCTCAGCTCAGGTCATGATCCTGGGGTCCTGGGATCGAGCCCCACGTTGGGCTCCCTGCTCCTCGGGGAGCTTTGCTCCCCCTGCTTGTGCTCTCTAACAAATAAATAAAATCTTAAAAAAAAAAAAAATTGGAATGAAGAGGAAATGAGCGGGCCAGGGGCAGGTGAGGCCAGGGCAGGTGAGGCCAGGAGCAGGTGAGGTCGGGGCAGGTGAGGTCGGGGCAGGTGAGGCCAGGAGCAGGTGAGGTCGGGGCAGGTGAGGCCAGGAGCAGGTGAGGCCAGGGCAGGGGAGGGCGGGGCAGGTGAGGCCGGGAGCAGGTGAGGCCGGGAGCAGGTGAGGCCGGGGCAGGTGAGGTCGGGGCAGGTGAGGTCGGAGCAGGTGAGGTCGGGGAGGTGAGGCCGGGAGCAGGTGAGGTTGGAGCAGGTGAGGTCGGGAGCAGGTGAGGCCGGGGCAGGTGAGGTCGGAGCAGGTGAGGTCGGGGCAGGTGAGGCCAGGAGCTGGTGAGGCCGGGGCAGGTGAGGCTGGGAGCAGGTGAGGCCAGGGCAGGTGAGGCCGGGGCAGGTGAGGCCGGGAGCAGGTGAGGCTGGGAGCAGGTGAGGCCAGGGCAGGTGAGGCCGGGGCAGGTGAGCACAGAGCCAGGAGAGGAACCTAGGCTCACCAAGTCTGCTGCCGCCGCTGTACTCAAACAAGAGGCTTAGGGCAGAGGCCCGGGGCCAGAGCCCGGGACCGGGTGGTGGGGCCCGCAGTCTGGGAAGGGGATGGGGCGCCTGCTCCCCGTCTCAGCAGCACACACCCAAGCCTGACACAAGACCTTCGCTCCACCTCCTCCCCACCAAGCTGGTAGTGCAGCTGCGGTGTGCTTACCCGAAGCCTGGAGGCCGTCCCTGCTTTTGCCCACGCCCCAAATCCCTCCATCCCGTGGCAGCGAAACTCCCCTCAGCTCTGCCCAATCTCCCCGCCTCCACGGCACCGCCTGCGGCTTCTTGGGTGACCACAGTGGCCCCCTTCCTGCCCGCTCCGCAGCTCTTTCCCCACCGAGCCATCCCTGCCCGCACTGCCTCCCTTACAGCCCGTCCATGACTGTGCAAGACCCTCAGGATGAAGACGAACTCCGGTGTCACAGCTGGGACCTGACCCCCCTTCCCCGCACATACCGCCCCTCCATCTCCAGCCCACATGCAGCTCCTTCCGTGGAGCACCCTGCCCTGCAGGGCCAGAGGGCTCTTTCCACCCCGACCCCTCCTCCACCAGCGTCCACCTCCCCAGGGGAGGCCACTCTGGGCCCACTGCATCCAACTGCCCACCAGGCTTTCTCCCCGCACCGCGCGGTGATGGATGCCCAGCTGCTCCCCACTCCGGGCCAGGCCCATAAGGCATGGACAGCGCCTGAGTATGACCAGCGTAAATCCCCCATTTCTTTCTTTTTTTTCCTGTTCTATATTTTAAGTTTTTTATTTTAATTCCAGTGTGGTTAACATACAGTGTGCGGCTAGTTCAGGTGTACAATATTGTGATTCCAACACAGGGCTGCCGCTAGCTGGGGCTCCGAACACAGTTTTGGGAGGACGGAAGCGCTGGTACCCAATACAGATGGCACATCAGTCAGATTTCTCGGGCATGAAGAGACTTATTTTAAGGAACTGGCTCCTACAATTGTCCACATCCACAGGCCAGTGGCCTGGATGCTCAGGCAGGGCCTCCGGGACAGCACTGAGGCCAGCATCCTCTTTTCCTGGAAAACCCCAGCCTTCTGCTCTTCAGGCCTTCAGCTGATTAGATGAGGTCTGCCCACAGGATTGAAGGTGACCTCCTTGACTTAAAATCAACGACTGTAGATGTTTATCACACTACAAAATACTTTCACAGCAATATCTGAACCAGGGTTTGACCAAGCACGTGGGCACCCAGCCATGCTGAGCCATCAATTTCACCAGCCCAGATGCATCGACCCCAGGAGAGGCCAACAGTGAGGCCAGGCCGGATGGTACAGGAGACCCGGAAGGCCGTGAGAGGCTCGTTTTCCCACGCCGGAGGATGGGATGTCCTACAAACAGCAGAGGGTGGTGAAGAGACGTCCGGCCAGGCCTACAGGGCCAGGGCGACGCAGCCAGGATTACAGTGTAGGGTGTCCGAGGAGGGTGGGGGCAGGCCCCCATTGTGAGGTCCAGGTAGAATGTTCAACTCAGGCAGACTCCAAGCCCATCCTCACCCCTGCCTGCCTACCAGGAGCGCGCCCTCAGGCTTAGACCTGGGCTTCACTGTCCTTTCCGTCTGAGAACAGATGGCGACACCGCCCGTGCAGACCCCTGGGACACCGCCTCACTTAACTCCCAAGGTCAGGCCCGCCAAGATCTCTGTGTAGATAGCTCTTAAAAAGAGCGTGGTGAGGACTCATAGGTCTGAATTCTCGGAACCTGACAACCTGACGAGGGGCATGTCTTGGGTTCTCGAAGGACCACAGGCAGGAAAATTCAAGCAGTCAGAGAACGGAGATGTGGGCACAGAGGGCTGCCATGGGGGACTTGGAATAGGGGAACCTGAGTCACCAGAGATGGAAAGTCCAAGCTATAGAGAGCCAGGTGCTTGGACAAGGGAGCCCCTAGGCCGGCAGTCAGAGAAAGGCTTTGAGCACCTGGGTTGGAAAAAAGTAGGGCCAGTGTCCAGTATGGAAGGTAGAATGTCCCCAGGAGAAGACTGACAGGCTAAATCCAGGTGTGCACAACCTCCCAAGGAGAGGGCCTCCTGGCCAGGAAGGGGCGCGATAAGCTTCCATTCAACAGGAATTCTCTGGTCACCTACCTGCTGTGCCCCTGGGCCCTTTGCTGGCTGCTGGGGACGTGCCCAACCCCCAGCCTCACTGTAAAGTGAGCCAAACAGAGCCAGCAGCTACCAGCACAGAGCCGAGTAAGCGCCGCAGTAGAGACATGGCCGGGGAAGCCTGGAGAGCAGAGGGGAGCTTGCTGGGGCGGCAGGAAGCCGGACAGAGCGGGCACCTGCAGAGGGAATGTGGCCCAACAGAGGAAGCATCCGTGCATTCCAGGCCAGGGCAGGACCTGGGCACAGCCTGGAGGCATGGAGAGCAGAGAGGGCAAGGAGGAGGGCACAGCCTCTGACCTCACAATACCCAGAGCCCACTGGGCCCGCCTTGCAACCTGCAAACTCTGGCGCCCTCCTCCAACCCGGGCAAGGCCCGGGGCCCTGGGCAGCCTCCAGGTGCAGCGCCCTCCCTTGGGCGGCACCCATCCTGCTGCCCCGGGGCATGTCTCTACTCACCAATTATGAGGGGCTTCGGCATCAGATCGAGAGGCTGGTGCGGGAGAATGAGGAGCTGAAGAAGCTGGTACAGCTCATTCGGGAGAATCACGAGCTCAAGTCGGCGATCAAGACACAAGCGGGTGGCCTGGGCATCAGCGGGTTCAGCTCGGGGCTTGGCGAGGCGGCGGCCAGCCCTCCTCAACGCCCGGGAAACTGTAAGACAGCGAGGAGGGAGGGTGGGTCTCGGGAAGTCCTGGAGAGAGGGCACAGACAGCAGCCACCTGCTGGGACAGGGGCCCCAGCAGGTGAGGGAGGGTGGGGGAGCACACGGGCCATAGGGATGGAAGTCCCACCCGCCCCGGTGGCCGGAGCCCGGCCTCTGCTCCCCTCAGCCAAGCAGCCCCAAAGACTGAGAACTTCCTAGCTCTGGAATCCAAATGTGCTACCCTACTGGGCCCAATACGTCACTCCGCTTCGGCCTCCCTCCCCCTCAGCACCCCCATTCCTCTGCGCCTGGAGGTGGCCAGGAGGCAAACAACAGCCCAAGTCCAGGAGCCAGGGTCAGAGGCCAGGATGGCAGCTGAGGTCCGGGAGGCATTAGTGTGTGACCGAGCCCTGGGGCCGCAGAACATCTACAGGCTAGGGTGACACAGAAGAGGCAGTGAAGCCATGGGTGATACGTGGGGACTGAGCCAGGACAGCTCCCAGAGGCCAGCAGGCCAGGGACACTGCACAACTGGCTGCAGTGATAGGAACAGGGAGGTGCGGGAAGGACGGAAAGCAGGGGCGGAAACCGGCTGGCACTGAAGATAACGGAGGGAGACTCTGGCGGTGGCCGTGCCCGGCGCGAGGCCGTAGGAGTCAGTGGCTGACTGCGGCGGCGAAGGTCACACTGGGCGCGAGCAGGTGACAAAATCCTGTGGTTGTCACAGCACACCCTCCCCTCCCTACGGCGTCCTCCCTGTGCCAGAGAAGGCCGTGTGCCCTCCACTCCTGTCACGGGCCCTGCACCCCGCCCTCCCGCAGGCCCTTCTGGCCCCAGGCAGGCCTGGAACTATCCTCGTCCCCTGAAAGGAGGACTCCGCTCTTTCGCTGTCCCTGCCGACTGGGCCTCTGCAGCTCGACAGTGGACCCCGACACTCAGTGGTAGTGGTTCTAGAAAGGTCATGGGTGGCTTCCTAAGTGCCACATCCTTCTAAACCTCTGCATGGAATTTGGGACTGATAACCCCCCTCCTTCTGAGTTCCAAGAGCACCCTCGGCCAGGGCGTCCACCCCCGGCTCACCTCTGTCCCCACTGCTCCCAGGTTGGCTCAGGCCTGCCCTCCACCACCAGCCCTCCCATCACCACTGGCTTCAGTCCTCCACCAGAAGTGGAGGTCCCTTCACAGGGTCTTGCAGGCCCAGTGACTCCCTGGCACTCAGCTCAGTCTAAACCACAATGTTTCTGACTAAGAACTGGCCTTTCCACCAGGACGCTAAACCCTGTCAGGTCTGTGCTCCTGCCCCTACAGTCCCACTTCCGGCTCAAAGCCTCCTTCCTCTTACTCTTGAAAGCTGCCTCCCTCGGATCCCTACCCACCTGTTTCCCTGCTATTCAACCTGGCTGTTCATCCAACCCATCTTCACACCCGCCTTACTGACCACGAGAACACAGGCCCCTCTCCTTTGAAAGGCTCTCCTCTAAGGACAGAGAAAACAGGCTGACAAAAATAAAGACCCAGGGAGGAACAAAATATAAGAAATCTCAAAGTTTAAGAAAAAAGTAAGTCTTCTCCTCTTAGGCTTGATTCTTAAAAGAATCCTTGGACCACTTCAGGTTTGCCACCTCCTGAAGGATCCAGCTTAGAGGGTTAGGAAGGCTTTCTGAAGGTGAGCCCCATAGTGACGGGAAGACATTACAGGATGAAGAGCACCTCACGCAAAGGGTAGGACCAGGGGCCTGCAGGAACATGAAACATCAGTGTGGTTAAAGCCCAGGCTGTGTGTGTGAGTGTGGGAGGTAAGTGTGTTTATACTGTGTATGAGTGTATGTGTGATTGTGTTGAGTCTGTGAGTGGAAATGTGGTTGTACCTGTGAGTGTGAGTGTCCGTGTGGTTGCGTCTGTGAGTGTGAGTGTCCGTGTGGTTGTGTCTGTGAGTGTGTGTGTCTCTATGTGGTTGTATCTGTGAGTGTGAGTGAATGTCCGTGTGGTTGTATCTGTGAGTGTGAGTGTCCATGTGGTTGTGTCTGTGAGTGTGAGTGAGTGTCCGTGTGGTTGTATCTGTGAGTGTGAGTGTCCGTGTGGTTGTGTCTGTGAGTGTGAGTGTCCATGT